AGGGTTTCTGTCTACTCAAATGACTTATGCCTCAGGGGGTGGCAGGGGCTGGTATATATAGGCCGAAACGTCAATCCTGAGCCTTCGGATCAAACCGACTTGAATAAACGGCGTAGATGCAATTTAGGAGGCGGTGGAGAACCGACATAGCAACGAGGGGTTGACATGTGGGCCCTAGGGGCCAGCTGGCCAACAGGTGGGCCGCTGGCGGCGTCTCGCCCTCCGCTTCGGTGTGGAGTCCTCTCGAGACTTCTAGAACCTTCTAGGGTCGTTTTCGCTGTGGATAAGCGTGATTAAGTCTGACATCTAGGTCTACCTTGACGGTTTTCTGGATAAACCCTGCAGAAAATACAGATTCACCAAAACTCGTGGAATTTGTTAGTTTAAACCCCTAGACCCTTGTTGGTGATTATATTTATGCCCTTATATATGTTATATTGATGGTTTTATAATGTTTGTTAACTACCGTCAACAACTATACAAGATTATTAAAACTAACGTGTGTTTTGCCAAGGCAATTTGAGTTAGGTCATGTCAATGATGATTGTTTGGGTGATCAATGGTTTTCTTGCCCCAATTGATGAAAATTGTTTTGGTTTTCGAAGGATGGACGACAAGGTTAAGGAAATGCTAGTTCTAAGTGTCAATTGGAGTTGGGAGACACTTAGAATGGTTTAGGATTTTGTTTTTCCTTTGGCCATACTATAAAAGGGTATGAACTAGTATCTTGACCTAGGTGAGTCTAATGTGTTAGGTGTGGTGCACACTTATCAAACTTAGCACTAGGTGGCTCAGAGATAGCCCAAAGATCAATTGGAGTCAACTTCATTCATAAAGGATTTCAAAATAGAAATGAATGGAGTGTTGATGTGAGCATCGGACAGAGATGTAGAAGACCATCGGACAAATGGTTAGTGTCCAATGAGTGTATGGTAGATGCGTGTTCAAGCCAGAGTTTGAATGATCCATCGGACACCGGCATGTTAGAGCACCGGACAAAACTCGCGCACTGTAGCATCAACTAGGGTTTGGTCGATAGTGCATCAGATAGGACAGCAGGGGAGTTAGCGGACAAATGATGATAGTGTCCGCTGCATTTCAGAGAGCTTCAGAGAGGTTTTCTGACCATTGAACTAGTCCGTTGGGTTCCATCGAACAAAACGCTATAGAGGTCAGCTCCAACGGCCAGTTTGCTTAGTGATGTCATTGTACTATTGGAAAGGCATCGGACAAGGACGCAGTTGTCCGATGTGGGGTACAGGAGCATCCGATGCTCTCGATTTCAGTGCAGCTGAGGTCCAATGACTAGTTTCTTTGGTGAGGGGTATTTATACCCATCCGACTTGTCCAAAGAAGCTCTCTTGCTCATTTGTTCAGGTGAGGCAACACTTTGGGAGCAAGGGGGAGTTCTTGCATAAATGAGGCGATTGAGATTTGATAATCCAAGATTAAGGACCTCATTAATGCATAGGGAGTAACAAGTGTGCATCCACCTTCCTCATTAGGCTTATTTAGGTCAGGTGAGAGTTTGTGCTGGTTACTCTTGGTGATCGGCATCACCTAGACAACTTTGTGGTAATTGGAAGCTTGGTGGTCACCCGGTGGAGCTTGTGGGTGACCCGACTCATAGTGTAAGTGGCTGTGGGTGATTCACCGCGTAGAGTGACAAAGAATCAGCCCATAGAGGGCACTCGGTCCTTGCACGGATCGAGGGAAAGCGATACCCTTGTGCTGGTGCTCTAATAAGGACGAGTGGAGAGTGCCAAGTCTCCGGTACTCGGGAAAATATCGCCATGTTTCGAACCCTCTCTTTACTTCGAGCATTTGCATTTGAGCAATTTCATTCATGTCATTACATTACCAAATTGTCATGCTAGTGTAGGATTGGAACCTATGGTGCAAAGCTTTTCTACGTACCATAGAAACACAATCTAGGCACAAGGGGTGAAATATGGCTAAGCGGTAGGTTTTAATTGTTGCGAGTAAATTTAGATTAGCACAATTCACCCTTCTATTGGGAATATTGATCCTTTCAAATACATCAACATCGATCGGGCGTACCATCTAGCAGCGATGATGGAGACATCAACATCGGTCGGGCATACCATCCGGCGGCAATGATGGAGACATCAACGCCAGTCTGGTTTATGATCCGGCATTGATGTAGGTATGATGTGAACTCTCTTTATCCATATGTTATGCTATCTAGGGATATGTCCGAGGGTGCTTCAATTTGGCACGGTGATCTCTCAAAAAAGAACACCAGTGAGTGGAAGGACATGTTCGGACTCTCCATGTAAGTCCAACACCTATGGAGAGGCCTTTTCTGCCTTATATAGACAGGAGGATGGTACCCTCATATTCCCTACAGGAAAGTTCATTATTGCCTTTTTTAATTTAAGGAATAAACGTCCAGCTTTATCCCCTGTGACCAAGAGAATCAGACCAATTATTATACTAATTGAGATTGAAGCCAAACATATCCAACTCAAAACACAATTCTAGTATTATTTGACCATCGAAAACAAGCAAATGAACTGGTGAAGTATGCTTTACCGAAGAGTTGAAGTAGAGTTCTGCTCCAGTGACCCTCTCAAAAAAGCTTTATCCGGATCTTAAAGCACCATGATAAATTAATTAATATATTGCTTTTGCTTTTGGCGTGGATCTGGAATGGGGCCGCCAGTCCTAGCCCCAGGTTCAAACCAAGCCAAGCACTCTTCGAGTCCGATCGGTTCCGTCGATCCATCCGAGCCGCAAGTCGGGAACGGGAACATGGAGTGCGTGGACGGCGGCGCAGCAGCACCAGCCATCCGTCACCGAGCCACCGGCGCATCCCCTCCCGGCCTGTGGCAGCAACGGCATTAGACTGGACGTCTCGAAAAAATTCACTTTAGGACCCTGATCGGTTTCCCTGGCGGTTTTGCATGGTACTGTAGCAGTGCTGACGTCAGCGATGACGTCAGCACTTCTTTTTAATTTGCAAAATTGATATCTTTTTATTCGGAGCTTCAAATATAGCAAATAATATATCAATTTTGATCGTCTCGACGAGCTCTTTGCAATGGTGTACTCCGTTTTGTTGTTTGAGATAATTTTATTTCATGAAAAAAATAAATATTTCTACAAAACAAGTTAGAATAACAGAACTCGTGGAATTTGTTAGATAAATAATATTTTTATTATTATGTAACACGAAATGTTGTCTTTTTAGGTTCATTTGACCATAGAATATATAAGTTTGACCATTTTTGAAATGCAATAATTCAAAACTTGTTTTGTAGAAATATTTCGCCGTGTCCTTGGGTCCGCAAATATTTCGCAATAATTCAAAATATTTCTGCAATAATTCAACAAGGGCGCCCGTGTCCGGTCGGTTCGCCGCACGACACGAGCTTCGCTTCGTGTCTTGCCACCTGCGTGTCGGGCAGTGGGCGCGAGGGCGACGAGGCGCACCGCAACGCCGACGCCACGGAGAGATCCTCGCCGGACGACCTTCCATGGGGCGCGCGCTCAACTTACCGATGCCGCACAAGATTCTAGACCACGAGTAAGCCACTCACTATTGCCGCCACCTGCTCCCTCAATTCAATCTAGCTATCCACCGCCACTTCATGCGGTCATACTCATGCCATGCCGGCCAGAAAGCAGACACGCATGTGTCGGCCGAATGGTCGTCTAGTTCTGTGTCGCAATAGTAGCCATAGGAAAGGAAAAAGGACAGTGTACTACGAATCGTATCATCGTATCGGATTTGGGTACAAGATAAATATAATACTACTACTACCACTAGCTACTTAATTTCACCACAAAAACAGAAAAAAAAACTACACTAGGAGCAGTAAACATATCGTTTGATCGTGTCATATGTTGACAGTTAGTTAACCGCAGACTAGGAAGGTTAATTCAAAAATATCTAAGCGATCGTGGCAGGTCCGATTGACCGTCCAACTCCCCTGTTTATATATAACGACTACGTTGGTGTTGTACATATATAAATATACAAAGTATATAAAATACTTGCATACGTCAGCTTAATTGCATAACTTGTTTTGTAGAAATATTTATTTTTTCATGAAATAAAATTATCTCAAACAACAAAACGGAGTACACCATTGCAAAGAGCTCGTCGAGACGATCAAAATTGATATATTATTTGCTATATTTGGAGCTCCGAATAAAAAGATATCAATTTTGTAAATTAAAAAGGAGTGCTGATGTCATCGCTGACGTCAGCACTGCTACAGTGCCATGCAAAACCGCCTGGGAAATCGGCCAGGGTCCTAAAGTGAACTTTTTCGAGAATTGGAGGGCCAATGTTATCCGGTTTTGAAGTTGGAGGTTGAAATCCATACTTCTACGATAGTTGGAGGTCCTAAAGTGAACTTTACCCTATTAATTATTATTTTCTGTCATCATTAATTCTTGTACGTAGTTTTGATCAAACGCGTGAATAGACAATGGTGCCGCCCATGCATGCTGGCATTAGCTTTTCAGTACATTCACTCCCTTCTATAAGCAAAAGTGGGTCGAAGATTAGCTTTAGCCAATTTTTCTCTGTCACTGGAGTACGAAAAGTGTAGTTAACGACGATAGGCAAACTTTACACGCACCAAGCATGGCTGTTTGATTTGATTAGCATCAACATGTCTGCTAGTTGGCTGCTGGTTCGTCGTAGTCATTCATTTAGAACAAATAGATCCACTACTAGAAAACAAGCAACCACTACTGTGACATCAATGCCACCGCTTAGAAATGAACTGGCAGCGAAAGCTTATCACTTTAATGATTGATGCTCATGAAAACCGGCAGTGAAAATAGGTCCTAACTCTGTCTCTGAAAGAATCAATTCCTAGCAACTCTAGGACAGATTAACAAAGAAAAAAGACCAAGCTGCCCCTCGCCAAAACTCCTGGACATCTCTTCGGTTGCCGAGAATCTTAAACGATGTCTCTTGTATATCAACGAATTCAACATGCTACTGATGAAGTAGAATCGAGATGACAACCTTCGGAGACTCCTCATCCTCTCGGCATCTCCAGCCACTCGACCTCCACGTCCCCCACGGCTGGTGGCCTCCATGGTCCCGGTGGCCCGTGCCTAGCAGCCCCGCGACCGGCGGCCTTGACAGCCCTGGTGGCCCCTGCCCGGTAGCCCCTCGACCGGCGGCCTTGATGGCCCTGGTGGCCCGTGCCTGGCAGCACCACAACCGGGGTCCCCGTGCCTGGTGGCACGTCTCTCGATTCAGAAAGCTTGCATGGCGGCACCCCTGGGCAACCCCGGCAGCCCAGCGCAGCATCCTTCGAACCCGCCACTGCATCCTGAACCATCGACGTTGTGATCGCGGAACTTGGCTCCACGGAAGGAGCAGACAACGGCAGCAAAGCATCGGTGCGGCGAGGGATGGAGCTGAGGAAGCGAGTGAGGAGTATCCGAGTAGGGCAGATGGGTCACAATAGGGCCAAAATACATGTATTTTGATTAACAAAGTGAAAAAATACGCCAAATATCATCTAAAATAAGAAGCCAACGTTTCAAGGATCAATTTAACGAAGTCGACGATTGGAGTCCTATAATTACAAAGCGCATTATTGTTTCGTGTCCTATAATCGCAATTTTCTTCAAATTTATTGATGCCGCCTGAGGTTGTTTGGCGTGGTCTCCCTGTCTACCGCATTTGTTTTCAGGTTCCAAGTACGAGACGCCTATGGAAGGTAAATAAGATAATATGTCATCACAGAGACTATGCAGTCAATGGTAAAGCGGATCGACCATTGTAAACATTGGGAAGAGACAAGTTTCTACTCTGACACTTACTACTTGCTCTACTGTTTAAATGGAAGTCCATGTGATACAACCTCGATACCACCATTTTTTATTTTTCTTGATAAAAATACATACGTATCGAGATCTAGGCCAATCGTGGTACGTACGATATAAGGCAATTCAAAATCTGCAGTGTGAAGGCCAGCAAGTCTAAGTAGTTGCTTCTTTAAAATCAAAGCCAGCCGTATTCACACATTATATCTGAAAGCTACGAACGGAGAGAAGCACTATTGGTGCATCCATCCTCCTTCCCTCATCTCAGCCCCTTCTCCCCCTCCGGGAAAACTAAGCATGGATTCCATGGCAGACTTGATGAGGAAACTTGGATGGATAGCCTGGTGCTTAACTGTAGTAGGTTGGTTTCTGTCACCCATTATCAGCTTGCTCGTGAACAAGATCTTTGTGTACCTAGTGTTCAACACATCAAAAAAGCTCAAGGAGTTAGAGAATGAGACTATCCCAAAGCTGAAGCAGACGCTTGGTGTCGTGGAGGAGCAGACGGTGCTCAGAGCAGCCGAATACAAAGGGTCTCAAAACAATCTGAAGATACTGGACAGCATGAAGAAGGATCTCAAGTCTGCCTTGTATGAAGCCGAAGACATCCTAGATCTTCTCGATTATCGCCGGATCGAGAAGGATCTCCATCTTGGGGATGATGACAGCCGCTGGGTGGAGAACCAACTCGGTGCTGCTTGCACCTGGATTGCCCGCTGCAAGGAGAGTTCCTTTGGGCGATGGATACATGTCACCCTCGCAGCGGTAATGAAGAGGGCACAAAGCATGACCCGGCAGGGGCAGTTCCTGATTCAAGGGTGGCGGCACTCGAGGCAGAACTTTGACCTATTTTGCATGTGTAGAGACATAAAGATCGCGGGTGCTGCAGTACTGCAGTGTGCACAGAGCTGGTACCAACAGCTGGGGCAACTATTCAGATGCATTATACTACGCAGATCCGGTGCACTTCTTCCAGTTTCTCGTCTAGCGCCGCAACCCCCATGTCTTGAGTCCAGAGGCTCTGTGTTTGTTCCAGTGGAACCAACACGTAGGCCAGCAGAGGAGCTGGTGGATGACGAAGAAATAGTGGAGGAGACACAAGTGGTGGAAGGAGAGGCAGCGGAGGGGATACAAGATGGAGAAGATGGAGCAATGTCTGAGAAGATAGAAGAAGAAAGTTCTGAAGGAGGAGAAGTGGGAGAGACATCGTCTGAGGAAGAGATAGAAGAAGATGATGTGGAAAGAAAAGAGGGAGAGCCAACTTCTTTGTCAATTTTCCAGTACTGTGCTCGACCTATGCTGACATTGTTTGCAAAGCTATGTTTTTATCGAGATTGGTCATATGGAATTTTTGGAATCAAAAGTGACAAGGTACCATCTAACTATCATTTCTGATTGACATACTAGATTTGCATTCTTGCACCAGTGTTTGCCTTTTGTTCTTTTTGATAATATTTTGCCTTGTTCTTTTCAGTTATGCTAAATAACTAGTACATCAAAATTAAGAGTCTACCACACCATATTATGATATATATATAGATACAAAATTTTGTTATACCTCCCTTGTTATAATTAGTAGTACCAGCTCAAAGATATATATAGTAAAAAGGCTCTTATCAAATGATGAATTGAATATCATGGATCAGTCTGTGTCTTGTCGATGTGGAATTTCGTCAAAATGGTCCAAAATGAAAAAAAGAAAGAAATCTGAAATGATTTTAGGGAGTGTAATCCAATACTTCAGTTTAAGGAAGCTAAAAAAAAGGCTTGGATAATAAGGATGCCTCTTTTCTTATGCTACCACAGTTTTCCTTTTTAAAGCACACCTTGACATCACACGGTCTGCTAAATTACATTTTGACCATTTATTTTTTCTATATTACATAGCTTATGCTTGTGAATTTATTTCACCCAAGTCAATCCGCACAACACCTCACACAAGCATGTCATGCAAAAATTCCAAATCACCATGCTATCACAAAAGCATAAATAAGCAACACATGCATATCAACCTATACCATAATACAAATCACTTTACAGTTTCAATTTCATCTCAAACCAATTTTTTCATCACATGATCTCACATAAGACAGCTAGCTTATGTAGACAGCTAGTCCATAGGGTTGATAGACAAGTGCTATTAAATTAACTCTTTCCATTTCATATGATCCATACAAATACCTTTTTGTACAAAAATTAGCCGCCGTTATTAACATTTCATTTTGCACGTTATAGAATTGAAGTATGTTTTTAAAAGGGGCTATACATGGCTGTCATAATAATTATGTGAACCTTGCTTCTTGCAGGAGGATGGCAGTGCAGCAGAATTAGTGCCCATTACTGAAAGAATAAGTCTGAGGAATCGAATAAAACACATAGAAGATATTCTCTCTGCCTTGAAGAAATCAGATATGTTGAATGATACGAATAGTAGCAGTGGCACCACCACGGATGCAGACAACGAAAGAAGCAGCTTCACTGTCAAGAACACTGCCAAAGAAAGCAGCAGCAACAAGAAAAAAATTGACAAGTTGTACATAAATATTGATAAGATAGTGTTCGGTCGAGACAAGGACCGTGCCCATATATGTAGGATGCTTCGTGTAGGACAACATACCTATGCAGCAAGCTCCAGCACCAGTAAACCTTACTCTGTGATTGGCATATATGGCATTACAGGTTCTGGGAAGAGTACCCTGGCACAATATGTTTGTGACTATGAGAAGAAGGCAGGACATTTCGACCCTGTCATGTTCATTCATGTGGGGAAGACATTCAGCATGGATCTTATATTTCGTGATATGCTTGAGCAGATCACGAAGAGCCAGCCCTCTAAAGACAATGATCTTGAAAGTCTAAAAGCAAAGTTGAAAAAAGAGCTGAAAGACAAATGCTTCTTGTTAGTACTGGATGATGTCTGGGTCAACAGTGACAATATGAAGGAACGTCGGATTCTACTTGATGTGCTTCTTGTTGGGCAGAGTGGAAGCCGAATCCTGGTGACAGCTCAAAAAAGAGATGCAGCTGCAGCTTTAGGTGCTCAGGAGAAAATGCAAATCCCAATACCTGATTTAGAGGAGGAGCAGTACCTCTCAATGTTCATGCACTATGCCCTAGAAGACAGTCAAGTCACATGGAATGATTATGAAAGATATAAAGCCATCGGGAAAAAAATTACAAAAAAGCTTCGTAGATCACCCATTGCAGCAATAACAGTGGCAGCACGGCTTAAGAGCGAAAGCAGAATTGATTTCTGGGAAAGAACATCAAACCTTGATGTGTTGGATGAAACAATGGGAGCTCTTTGGTGGAGCTATCAGCAGCTTGGTGTTGACATCAGGCGATGCTTTACATACTGCAGCATTTTCCCCAAAGCATATATATTAGGACGGGATGAGATTGTTGACCTGTGGATAGCACAAGGGTTTGTAAACACCAGGAGTAACGGAACAGAGGAACTGGAAGATATAGGACAGAGCTACTTTGATGACTTACAGACATTCTCATTTCTGCAAGTACGACGAAGAACCATTTTGGGCGAGGCAGTGGATTTCACAATTCATGACCTGCTACATGAGTTGGCAGAGAGGGTTTCTGGTAGTGAGTTCTATAGAATTGTTTCGAATGGCTCACCAAAAGAAATCCCGCGAGGGGTTCATCATCTCTTCATTGAGACCAACAATGCACCAGAGATTGTTGAGAAAATTTTGGACATGGGAAATTTGCGCACCCTTATCATTCAGGAGCCTAGGCTCACCATGGGAAAATATCATGACTTGGTAAAAGTCACGGATCGTTTATTCATGAGTCTGAGGAAACTGCGGGTGCTGATTGTTAGGCTACAGTATTGGAGAAAAGAGTTGTCAGTCCCAGTATCTATTTATCAGATGAAGCATCTACGTTATCTCCGTCTTGCTTTCTTTGTTCGCCATCTGATTTTACCAAGCACATTTAGCAAGCTTTACCATATCCAGACCATAGATATTCCTTGCTCCAGAGCATCCTATCCTGAAAATATGGCTAATCTAAACTATTTGCGGCACATCTCACCTTTACTTTCTTTCCCCAACATTGGAAGGCTGACGTCACTCCACACAATGGGAAGCTTCTTAGTGAAGGAGGCACAAGGATATGAGTTGAAGCAGCTGATGCATCTGAACAAACTTCGAGGCTCTCTAATTATACGGGGCCTTGAGGTTGTCGGAAGCAAAGAGGAAGCTCTTGAAGCCCACCTATGCAACAAGAAGCGACTCAGAGAACTGGATCTGAGGTTCAACTTGGGTAAGAGTTTTGGTCCAGACGTGGAAGCAGAGGTACTTGAGGGCCTTTGTCCCCCAAAGGATCTTCAAGAGCTCACAATCTGGTTCTACAACGGTTCAAGGTATCCTAGCTGGGTGTTGAGTGGCCACCATCCAGATGCCCCAAAGCACCTGCACAAACTTGAACTCTGCAATTGCAGCCAGCGGGCAGCTATTCCTGAAGATAGTGAACTCTTCATTGGTCTGCGTGAGCTTCGCATTAACTCTTGTGACTGGGACCGGTTGCCGGAAAATATGGAGTGCCTCGTGTCGCTCCAGTCACTGTGGATTTGGAACTGCGATAAGATAGAGCTTCTTCCGACGCTGCCCCACCAGGCTCTTAAGACGATTGAGATCCGATGGTGCCCCGTGCTCAGTAGAACCTGCAAAGAAGAGGGACACCCAAATTGGGATATGATCCAGCACATTCCTGAGCAACGCATTTGTTAAGGAAAGATGAAGCCACTGTTCAACATACCAGCGACAGCTCAGCTGAGAAGCATGGTAAGTCTCTTGGCCGCCTTCCTTTTCCTAATCCATAGAGGTTGCTGCATTCCTAACCAAACTTTAATAATGATCCTTGGGTCTTACAGTATCGCCGTGTTTAGTTTGGGAAAGTTTGGAATTTTGGCTACGGTAGCACTTTCGTTTTTATTTGGCAATTAATGTTCAATTAAGGACTAATTAGGCTCAAAACGTTCGTCTCGCAATTTTCAACCAAAGTGTGCAATTAGTTTTTTTTTCATCTACATTTAATATTCCATACATGTATCGCAAGATTCGATGTGATAACTACTATAACACTTTTTTGGAATTTAGGGTGGAAACTAACACGCTCTATGTTTGTCAATCGATCCATCTGTGGAGCAGGCAGCGGGGGACAAGTCTGTACTTGCAGCCAGGAAAGGCGTTCACATCGTAACGCAAACTGCAGGTCGCATCGCATGGTGTGGTGGATGTTCTCATCCCTGATTGGTTGTGGGTTTGTGCTTTTCCCCCCCTTTCCTTCACTCTATAGTCTATCCTTTATTTGCAATAGGACAATTAATGGCGTGCAAATATAGTTTGTTTACTGTGATCCATGAGCGCGAGAGATAATGCTGTACTCATTTGTTCCCAATTGTTGAGTGAGTAAAGCTCATTGTAGACTGTAGAGCTTGTGAACTACATTGTGATTCAAAAGAACATATACATTCTGGTCAATTCTTGCAAGACACAGTTTGGTTTGTATATGAGATTTGTTCTTATGACCATAAATCTGGTATATTCTTGTTGATTTGGTTCGATACGTCCTGCTCTTTTCTGCCCTGTTTTTGGGCTTCGTCCAACTCTGCATACGTTTTTTTTCTGAAACTCGGTGCCTGCCTGCATGCTTGTACGGCTTTATTAAGTGTGGGTTACTTATAGGTCTGCCTAGCCAATCCTAGGCCCATGAAATGTTGGAGTATCATATGGAGTGTTACGTGGGAGTGTTCAGCTAGTAATAATAAAATAAATTACACATGTCCACAGTAATCCGTGAGACGAATTTAGTAATCCTAATTAATCCGTTATTAGCTCATGTGTTACTGTAGCACCACATTGTCAAATCATTGACTAATTAGACTTAAAAAATCGTCTCGCAAAGTAGTCGTAATATGTATAATTAGTTATTTTTAGTGTATATTTAATACTTCGTATATCCGTCTAAATATCTAATATGAACTAAACTTTAGAGAAAAAAATACCACCACGCCAACTACGGCGCGCTCATATGCTGTGCAGTCGTGCACATGTGAACCCCATAAAAGAACCATAGATATATCCCCAGCATTGGGCAAGGACATGAGTCTCTCTCTGTGACCCACCATGCACTTCATGTAAGTGCAGCAGGACGAGACGAGTGTTGATGGGAATTGACAAATAAGCATGGGCAGAGGACGCGATGGGCCGGCCTCTTCCTGCGGCTGACCATGAATAATGATTCCGTCCACGCCTCCACGCTCATACTACTACTGACACTGAATTCTGGGCCGTGGCTGCCAACCAGTAGTGCGATGGTGGGGACTGGACAGGATGGGCGTCACATGCATGCTGTACGTTTGGTGCAGCCCCTGCAGACGACCACAGCAGGTCAACAACTTTGCCTGCTCGTACGTCCAAGGTGATGTATAATGGCAGTCTTCAATTTCTGTCCTTCACAACAAATGCAACACTTGTAGCTAATTATTAATCCTACTCTCCGATCCGCAGAAAATAAATTTTGACAGCAGGTATATACATCATGCAGAGATAACTCAAGAAACGCGCTACGATGAGATTGGGAGAGAGATCAGCAATTTGGAAAATTGCAATGGCAAAAGACAGCAGCCCCATGATAAAAAAAGTGGGCGAGGGTTTGTTCAAGCCCTTGTTTAGTTTCCAACTTTGGCACTATGCAAAAAGAAGATTTTTCGTTACATTAAACTTGTGGTACAGGCATAAAATACTAAAAGTAGGCGAAATTAAAAACTAATTGCACAGTTTGGTTGTTCTTTGCGAGACGAACATTTTGAACCTAATTAGTCGATAGTTAAATAATTATTATTAAATACAAACAAAATACTACAGTAGGAAATCTGACACTATACAAAACTTTGCACGTCCAAATTCTGACCAACTAAACGGGCCCCAATTCAAAAATATAGCTAGCCGTACTTGTGGGTCCTGCTCACTGCTTTTCGCTCCCTCTGCCCATCTCTGTCCTTTTTCACCGGAGGGATAGATGGACACGGCAGCAGGTAGGACTGCTGTAGCTACACAGGTGCAGTGGTTGAAATGCCGAGTTCGCGTTCGCACCTTCACCGGTTCACTGGTTGAAATGCTGCAGAGAGCCCAAGAGCGAAGCAGGCGAACATTTGAAGATTGGAGCAGCCAAAGACAACAAAGGTCTCATTCTCAGGCCCCGTTTTGATGCCTCAAAACCCAAATTTTTTTGTATAGTATTCGTTACATCAAATTTTACGGCGCATGCATGGAGTACTAAATATAGACGAAAAAAAACTAATTGCACAGTTGGGTGAGAAATTGCGAGACGAAACTTTCGAACCTAATTAGTCCATAATTATACACTAATTGCCAAATAAAAATAAAAATGCTACAGTAGCCAAAATCCAAAAAAAATTAGATATAAACGGGGCCTCAATGCGATGAAGATCCGATGCTATATATGGTTGCGTTCACCACTCCCATCTCCAAATTAAATGGCCAAAACATTCGCGGGAGTGTTGGCTGGCTGGTTGAATAAGAAAAATACTGTAGCTCTATTTGTTTGGAGAAATTTGGAGAAATCTAGATAAATCTAGAGGAATTTGTGAGAGAGTGAACAGTAAATTTCAGTCGTGAACAGTGAATTCCGGCTGGAATTCACACCTGCCGACCAGCCCCTGTTCTAGCTGGGTTGATGTGAGAGAAAAATACTATTAAGTCTGAAATACACTGTTTATGTGATCCATCGGGCAGGCAATTGTTGCTGGCAGCTACCTCTGCTTTTTCTTCACCACTTTACCGTCCAGCTAAAACGTAGGTAGCTAGGGTTATCATTGCACGGCCACGCACCATCATGACGATCATGCCACGTGTACGGCTCATATGCTAATCAGATGAACCTGCACATTTGTTACAGTGTACCCCATCCAAGAACCCCAGCATGGGACGTTAGCCATTGCTCAATTATTGCGTGCCCTTCCATCCTTTTCAAGTGGCCGGAGTAGCCAACTTTTTTTCCCAACCGGCAAACCCCTCCGTGTTCTGGGCTTGTGAGAACAGTCCAGGCTAGTTCGCCTGCCCTTCCTGAACCGAGTTAGGTTTCCAATTCAGTTTTGAATCTATTTTTGGCCTCGGAAACTCGGTGAACACGCTTTGGATTTGTTTTCTACTGGAATAAGACCACACTCTCTATATATATGAGAGTATCCCAGCCAATTGAGGATCCAAACTTCCAATCGTAAAAACACAACACATACCCTCTTTTTCCCTACTTTTTCTTTGCCTTGATGTTCGTCACATCTTCTGGTGAGATTTGGCGGCATTCTACGTGGCCTTACCGACCCTAAGACACCCTATGCATGCTCCTCCCTGACATGTCTTCATGAGACGTGTTCAAGAGTCTACCACGCGAAGAACGAGCTCAACCTCGATATAACTGGTCTCTAGACCGATTTGATCGATCCGCTACGTTCTTGCTACGATCATGGTTTGTGGACCACAGGCATGCTAGCCGTTGCTAACGTGTGATCCGGATCCTATTTGGCATCAACAATTACGTTAAAATATATCCATTGATAATAAAATATTTGATGGAGCCTACCAATCACGTTGACTTGGCTACTATTATCAATATAAAATATATGGGCAGGACTTGCGTTCACATTTTTTTTAAAGTAATTACCCACCTATGTCATTATAATACATTAATAAAAATGGGAGACGGTATATTTCAGTGCCTTAAAAAATACAACAATGTTCCGGCTGATTTATTGTGAGAGAAAAACAATGTTCTGGCTAAAAACACAAGTTGAAAAAATCAGATTATAAGAGAAGCGAATATGACCAATGTTTTCAGGCGACGACCAGATCTGCATCCAATAGCCAGGCTGTCTGCAGCTGCTTCTGTCACCCCCACACCAATAACGGGTCCGCGAATGTACCCGTGAACCCACCCAGCCACTTATCAGGCCCGCCCAAACATTAACGGGCGCATGAACCAAAACCAGCTAACTGAAGTTGCTGCTCATTTAGGCCAAAATGCAACAATCGGCCCAAAAAACATACGTAAAAAAATAACAAATCTGCCACTGCAGCCTACAAACACCGATCAATTCCGGATCCAGATAACGTGCGTGAAGAAAGAGAAGAAAATCAGTAAAAATTGTACAGAAAGAACTCAACAAGAGAGGAAAAGATAAGTGAAAAAAAGGATCCTGGAAAATTTCAGAACATAAATATGAAAATTGCACATTTCAAATACTGCAACTACTACTTGTCATTAATGCAATTATACTGAATATGCATATAATTACAAAAACTAGCTCATGCATGTGAACCCTGCTGCAGTTTACTACTTATAATCATCTTAGGTGCATCTTCTCAGTTCAGCGGTTAGTTCTTCTTGTACCCTTCTACTGTAGCCCCATGTTGTCAAAACTTCCACGAACTTCATCATAGAAATTGAAGAAGTATTTCAGATCTGTACATTGCAAGAATGGTACAGAAGTTAAGTAAATCAAGAGCTATAGCACAAGTGAAGAACTAAACCTAGCATCAAAGTGCCCAAGTAACAAATTGATGCAAGGGCTTACACTAAGTCCTGCATTTTCTAGTCATACTGGTAAAAACACAAATCACAATTAACAGAAAAAACACAACTAACTTGCAGCAAACTAGGCAAGTTACACGTACCAAAGGCCAGTCAGCTGGCACATATCAGGAGAGAGGCTTCCATCTAAATGATTGCCCTGAAAGCCCCTAGTAATTATAGTTACTAATTTAGCCACAAAACTCAGAAGAAATTACTTGATGTTTCAGTATTACTAAATTACAGTAACACAGAGCAGCAGGTGGAAACAGCTAAGATATATTCTAGAAATCCTATCCGTGTACGCCATCAGAGTGGCTTTCATCCAGACAAAGATTCAAGAGGAGGGAGTAGAGTTCTAATGGCTTATATGATCTGTCCCTTTGACTACAACCATAATTCACGGCTGTTCTCAGTTCCCTCTAACAGATATCACAAAAGATTATATAATTGCTTGTGAAAAAAGTTATCACTTTACAGTATTGACTTGCTATAGGTATTGTCAACCACAAGCCATGCACCAGCATTTTTGCACAGATCTGAAATTCTTTGGAATGACAATGCAATATTATAAAATATTGGATAGTGATTCCAAACACAAGTATTTGTGGATAGATTACCTCAAGCATAGGCCTGGGGATAAAAGCTCCAGATATATTCTAGAAATCCTATCTGTGTACGCCATCAGAGTGGCTTTCATCCAGACAAAGATTCAAGAGGAGGGAGTAGAGTTCTAATGGCTTATATGATCTGTCCCTTTGACTACAACCATAATTCACGGCTGTTCTCAGTTCTCTCTAACAGATATCACAAAAGATTATATAATTGCTTGTGAAAAAAAGTTATCACTTTACAGTATTGACTTGCTATAGGTATTGTTAACCACAAGCCATGCACCAGCATTTTTGCACAGATCTGAAATTCTTTGGAATGATAATGCAATATTATAAAATATTGGATAGTGATTCCAAACACAAGTATTTGTGGAGAGATTACCTCAAGCATAGGCCTGGGAATAAAAGCTCCAGAGGGGTTCCTCGGATTCACAACAGTAACAAGTTTAGGGATAGGGTCATTTTCTTTCAGAACCTTCTCCAACCAATCTGCAATTTTAGACATAATAATTGTAATGTATGTGTTAAGGGCAGCAAACCCCTGACTGGCTGGACCGCGGCTACGGAGCTCGTAGCCGTCGGCCGTCTTCTCCGGTGAGGTTATACCCCTCTTCCGTAGGCTTACAGAGAATAGAGAGAGATTAGGGATAACTTTATTGCTTGCTTGATCATGACCTCTAGTACAGTTTATATAGGCCCATGGGCTGCCACACTTGGCAACAATAAAATAGGAAATAACTAATTAGGGATGAATCCCCTAAACTTTAGGCCAATCACTTATCTAATCAAATCAGCCACTTTCCTTAGCCGCACCTTCCTCCTGATCACCCGCGCCAGCTGCCTCAGCGCGTGCTGCGGCCCGCCTGACATCACGGGCCCTTCGCTGACGTGCGTAAGTGCGGCCCCACATGACATCTCTCCCCCCCTCGAGAGTCAGCTCGTCCTCGAGCTGGAAGTCTGGAAACTGCTCGCGGAAGGATTCAGCATCTTCCCATGTGGCCGACTCTGGAGGTTCGCCGCGCCAATGGACGAGCAGCTGACGAACGCCTCGCGCCAAGCGAGCATGCTCAACCTCTTTGGGCTCTGGAGCCACCGCACCATGGTGGATGTGCGGCAGAGCGGTGGAGCGTCCGGGGTGCCGCGAACTTCTTGAGGGTACCGGCATGAAACACATCATGTATACGAAGCCATGGGAAGCTCCAGACGCACAAACCACATCGTTGATGATCTCGCAGACGCGGTAGGGCCCGATGTAGCGGCTTCAGCTTTTGCCGGTTCATACCGAGGAAGGGACGCCATGGTGTCTTGCCGAAAGCGCAGAGCGTGTAATCGCCGACCGGTAGTGCACCGGCGATGCCGCTGGTCATAGTGGCGCTTCGACACCCCCGTGCTTGCTCCAAGCGGTAGCGAACATCAGCTAGGAAGGCCTCGCGCTCCTCCATGTCGTCGCGCCATCGCCGCGAATCTTCGCCTCACCAGTGCTCAGATGAGCGGATGGTGGGTGGTCGCGCCGACACTACGCTGTGAACGGCATCTCCGAAGCGAGGATCGATAGGCCGTGTTGTACACGTATTTCAGCCCATGGAAGCCATCGCAGCCCATCGCCGGGTCGGTCCACCAGAAACAGCAGTAAGTACATGACAATGACCTTGTTGGCCGCCTCCGTTTGGCCGCGTGGATTTGGGGTGGAAGGCGGAGGTCATGTGCGCGCTTGGTGCCCATGAGGCGATCACTCGCGCGCCGTAGCAATGAAGTGAACACCGGGTCACGGTCGGACACCATGGACTGCGGCAGGCCATGGAGGCGCACGATGTCGGTGAAGAACGCCTGAGCCACTGTCTCAGCAGTGTACGGGTGCGCCAGGGGTATGAAGTGGCCGTACTTGCTGAAGCGGTCGACGACGGAGAGGATCACCGACTTTCCATTCACCCGGGGCAGCGCTTCCACAAAATCGAGGCCAATGTGGGCCCACACAACTGTGGGAATGGGCAGCGGCAGTAGCAGCCCGGCTGGATGAAGATGCTCTGACTTGTACCTCTGGCAAGTGACGCACTGGCGCACAAAGTCCTGCACACAACGACTCATGTTGGGAAAATGGAAGTCGCGGCGGAGGCGGTGCAAGGTGCGCTGGACACCCTCGTGCCCATCGTCGTGGACGGCTGCCAGGATCTCTTGCAGTAGTGGCGATGACTGCGGAATGTAGAGGCGTCCACCGTAGGTGACCATGCTGTCGGCCAATCCCCAGGGGGCGGCGCGGGTGCCCGTGCGAAGCTCGTCGTGGATGGCCACCAAGGCGGGGTTGGTTGCCTGGGCCTGGCGTAGACGGCTGATGAAGTCGAAGCGAGAGCCCGAGATCGCCATGAGGGCAACCGCCGGGTCCTCGTCGGTGTCGCGGCGCGAGAGGGCATCAGCCACCGTGTTGGTCGCCCCCGACTTGTACTCGACGGAGAAATCGAAGCCGAGTAGCTTCCCGACCCAGTGATGCTGTGGGATCGTCGCGAGGCGCTGGTCGAGGAGGTACTTAAGGCTGTAGTGGTCCGTCTTGACGAAGAAGCGACGTCCCCACAAGTACGGCCGCCAATGCCGCACAGCCATGACAAGGCCAATGAGCTCCCGCTCATATGCCGCAAGGGAGTGGTGTCGTGGCGCCACCGGCCTGCTGAAGAACGCAATCGGATGCGCCTCCTGGATGAGGACCGCCCCGAAGCCGTAGGTAGACGCGTCGCACTCGACGACGAAAGGCTTCTTTGAAGTCCGAAAGTGCCAAAGACCGGCGGACGCCACGGCCGCTTTAAGGGCGGTGAAGGCGATCGTGGCGCTCATCGTTCCACGTGAACCCTCCTTCGTGAGCGCGGTTAGAAGCGCGCGATGGTGCCGTAGTTGTGGACGAACTTCCGGTAGTAGCCCGCCAGCCGAGGAAGCCGCGACAAAGACGCGCTGAGCGAAAGGTGTGGGCTACCGTGTATGCTGGGACCTTGGCGGGATCCATGGCTACGCCGCCCGCGGAGATGATGTGGCCGAGATAGCTCACGAGTCGACGCCGAACGAGCACTTCGACCTCTTGACGAAGAGGCGGTGTTGGCGCGATAGTCAAGACGACGCGGAGGTGTCGGAGGTGGTCCGCCACCGGAGTCAGATCAAAATATCGTCGAAGAAAACAAGCACAAACCGGCGGAGGTAGGCACGCAACACGCCGTTCATGAGCGCTGGAATATGTTGCCGGCATTGCAGAGAGCCGAATGGCATCACCAAGAACTTCGACAGCCGTCGTGGGTGCGGAACGCCGCCTCTTGTGGATGTCCTCGTGCCACATCCGCTTTGGTGGTAACTCGACCGGAGGTCGAGCTTGAAGAAAGCGAGCCCCATGCGCTGCGTCCGGCAGCTCGTCGACGACGGGATGGGGAAGGCGTCCTTGATGGTGACGGCGTTGGTGGCGCCAGAAGTCGACGCAAAACCGCCACGAACCATCCGCCTTCTTGACGAGGAGGACCGGCGAGGAGAACGCCGAAGTCATTGCGGCGGACGACGATCCTCGGGCGATCATGGCGGCAAGATCGCCGCCGAGCTCGCTCCTTGTGGGCGCGGGCACCGGTAGAGGCGGGACGGCCACCGGAGGCGCGCGCCAGTTGGAGGACGATCTTTGTGGTCGCGCGCGGCGTGGCGGTGGCAAGCCCGTGGGCTCGGTGAAGACGTCGGCCGAATGTGGCCAGCTGACGACTCATCGAGGAGGACGCGCCGCACTGTGTTGTCGCGTAAGGTCGGCACCGGCGACAGGCCACGCCGGTCCACGCGACGGGGCGCCCGTGGCGCTGGAAGGTCATGCGCCGGCTGCCAAGGTCCCAGACGATGGGCCCCAACTCACCGAGCCACCGGGTACCGAGGACGACGTCGTACCCGGCCAGCGGCATGACGTAGAGATCGGCCGGGAACGCCTCGCCATCGACGAGTAGGGGCGCGTCGCGGATGACCCCGGCGCAGGCGACTCGTTCACCATTGGCGACCAAGGCGGTGAGGCGAGGCCGCTGGTGGAGGGGTAGACCGGAGCGTCGAGCTGCCTCCTCCGAAATGAAGTTGTGCGTGCTTCCGGAGTCCAGCAGGGCGACGAGGGCCGCGGTCCCGAGAACCACGGCGATCTGCATAGTGCCCGCCACGGGGACCCCAGCCACTGCCTGTAGGGAAAAACAGGGCGCCGTGGCGTCGTGTTCGGCGTCGTCCGCGGCGTCCCGCGCGTCCTCAATCTCCACGCCGTCCACGAAGAAGATATGCCTGCAGAACCGATTGTGGCCACGTGTGTATTTTTCATCGCAATTGAAACACAGACTGCACGACGCCGCTCCGCCATCTCGTCCGGGGTGAGGCGCCGGTGATTGCCCTCAATGCGGCCTATTTGGCGGCATTGGTGGAGCCGGAGCGCCGGAGCTTGAAGGCGCCGGAAAGGCGGTCGTGGTCGGGCGGCGGCGTTAGCATGATGTTGCACATGTGTGATGGCCTGAAGCCGGGCCGCAGCCGGGCGGCGGCCTCCATCAGCTCCACCTGGCGGGCCAGGCTCATGGCAGCCGCCAACGTCTCCGGGTTGTGGATGCGGACGGCGTGGCTGAGTGGTGGCAGGAGCCCGCCGGTGAAGAGCTGGACGCGCTGTGCCTCCTCCGCACGACCGCACGCCTGGCAGAGGGCTCGAAGCGATTGAGTACTCCTCTCATCGCATCCATACGCAAGCACTTTCGGCGAGCTCGAGGCAGCCGGAGCCGAACGGAGGGGAGGCCCAACCGGAGGTTCAGGAGGTCTGAAGCGCCCCCATGGTGGCGTACCCTCATCCTCTTGAGCCGGATGTACCAGTGAGCCGGGCGACGTCCTCCAGTTGTACGAGGCCATCCAACGCGCGCTCCGCCGCCATGGTACGTCATTGGCGAAAGTATGATTCGCATTTGTTGATGAAGAGCAGCGGATCGGTCTTACCATCGTAACGGGGAAAATCCAATTTCTGGAATTTTGGAGGGCGATCAAGATCGCGCGCCCGTCTGGCGGGCCGCCGCCGCCGTGTCCGTTGAGGACGACGCGCTTGTCCTTCATGGCCGCCATGTCGGACTTCATTGTGGATGCGATTCGAATTGAGGGCCTTCAAAGATCTCCATCACGTCGCCATAGTAGTCGGCTCACTCATGGTGGTTTGAGTGCGGCGCGGACGGAGGATGATGGTGGTGATGATGGCGTCTTTGGGATGGTGGGGGCGTACCGTGGTGGATTGGGTGGGGGCGGGTGGGCGAGGATCGCCGGAATGGGAACGCTGGAGGTCGATACCTAAAGTTGTCAAGGGCAGCAAACCCCTAATCTGGTTTGGACCGCTGCTCACGGAGCTCGTGAGTCAGTTGGCCGCCTTTCTCCGGTGAGGTTATACCCCTCTTCCGTAGGCTTACAGAGAATAGAGAGAGATTAGGGATAACTTTATTGCTTGCTTGATCATGACCTCTAGTACAGTTTATATAGGCCCATGGGCTGACACACTTGGCAACAATAAAATAGGAAATAACAAATTAGGGATGAATCCCCTAAACTTTAGGCCAATCACTTATCTAATCAAATCAGCCACTTTCCTTAGCCGCACCTTCCTCCCCGATCACCCGCTTTCTTTGCCTCGGCCACAGGTCGCGCTCCACCACGACATCACGGGCCCTTTCACGACGTATGTAAGTGCGGCCCCACATGACAGTATGCTTCCAAAATGAAATATTATCAACTACGGCCAATGCATACTTTCTTATACTAGACGTGTTGCATTTTACAAAAGCATATTGTTCTCATCAGCTAAAAGATAATGTAGACTTATAAGGGAAATTGAACATGTGCCAATGAAGCAGATGCTCCTGAACCAGCATTAAGTACAACAAATTTCTTACAACAGACTGTTGATATAAGACATGTCACCAATTTTTCCAATGAAACAGGAAGAAGAAGAAGAGAATCATCGTACCAACATCAGGATGAAGTGTCATGGGATCGCAACCACCAACTAATATGTCAGTAACACCTGTCATCTAGAATGACATGTAGGCATTGAAATAATATGGTGCAAACATGACAACAGAATCACCAGCATCACAAAGAGTGAGGACCAAGTTCACAAAAGCCTGAAAAAATAAATGTAACAAAAGACCAGATTGTAAGACAAGTTCAAGGTCTAGCAGTGAAACAGGAAAGGAAGAGTGTGCCCCCAAAGAAGTAATGAACAGAAGTAAATTGGGAAACATAAGGCTCTGTTTGAAAACTTTACAAGGCAAAATAGGAAAGTAAGTTTTTACCTGATTTGCACCAGCAGTGACCATGACTGATGACTTGGTAGCTGCCAAAAATATAGTAGACATCAGGAAAGATATACAAGATGCTTGCAATGCAGTACTAATTTTAACACATTGGTGGTCCAAACAGCAATAAACATCTTAGCCCAATAGGTGACAAAATGGTGGAACAAATTCTAAAGATAACTGTGCGATGTGGAGCACTTAGGCTAATGGTTAGAGCACCTAAATCATCTCAGGATTTCATCTCAACTGTTAGACAAACAACATGGCAGAGAGACTTTGCAACTCTTAGCACCACCATGATTTTCTCTTCTCAATTTCCAGAGGAGTCACAATAATGAATATTGTTCCCATTTCTCAGTTGATGAATAGAGAGTTTTATGACACACTCTGCCTATATTTAGAAAATTAGATGCTTCCTACGAATGTAACTCTGAGAACAAAAAGATTTTTTGGAACCTTTGTTTGACAATTAATTTCTGAAACATTGCATCGATCACTTGAGATTGCTGATGCGACTGTGAGTTAAGATCAAATATCTCTATTAAAATTTGGTTACGGTGTAGTGGGTTAGAAGAAGGATCCCTAGTCCCCAATGGCAAAGGCATGGCAATGTGGTAATACTCAAGAGCATGGCCTGCTTAGTAAGTGTATGGGCAAAATATATTATATATTCTATGAGAAAAAGAAGTTACCTTTTCGAGAAGTGCTTCTCAAAGCTCAGGAAGTCCATCATCAGAACCATACCTACTAACTGTTGGTTCCCTGATGATTTTTTCGATCTTATCCATAGCTGACTCAGGAGGTTGCCAGTAAACAACTCCCTGCATTCAGGATTTACAAAAAGTCAAGAACAGAAACTAATTTCTCAGAAATAAATATCATATGGTCGGGTCATGCTAATAGGACACTAACAGACACGCATGTCACTAGGGGGGTGTTTGTTTCCTTTGGGATAAAGTTTAGCCCTGTCACATCGAATCTTTGGATACCAATTAGGAGTATTAAACATAGGCTAATTATAAAACTAATTACATAGATAAACAAAGAAAAAAATGCGTGTTGACACAAATCACAATAAACAAAGTTCAAAGATGTGTTAGCACAAATCACAAGAAACAATTTTTTCTATGAAAGTAGAAGGACAAAAATGAGGTGTCTCGGCACAAATCACAAGTAACAAAGATGTTGTGTGTGCTATCACAAATCACAACAAACAATTTTTTTTCTATGAAAGGACAAGGACAAAAATTTATTTTGGGCTGACACAAATCACAATAAACAAAGAAAAAGCTGTGTTAACACAAATCACAAGAAATAATTTTTTTCTATGAAAGGACAAGAACAAAAATATGCTTTCTGCTGGCACAAATCACAATAAACAAAGGCTACTAGATTGGGGTTACAAGACTAACAGGTTCCCAGTCTTCCTGAGGCATGCAGGCACCAAGTGCTGCAACAAGCCACCCAACATAGTTGCAACGTGTCGGCATTACAGCCACCCAAGCATAACTGCAGCAGCAGTGCTTAAAAAACTAACATTTAACATCCTACTACCAGGTTAAGTCTTCCTGAGGCGAGGCAGGCAAGGCCGCAACAAGTTCATGGAGTGTTTACCGCCACTCGACACAACTACGAGGGTTCAGACCCAACCATCCACCAAAAAGTAAAACGACGACACAATCCCCTGCTCAGCAGAAGAACATCAAGCTACTCACTTTCTCATGCAAATGGGACAGCTCCTGGACGGGGACGCTGCCGGCTGAAGTGTGGCCGCCGTGGCTGGAGGACGTCTCCGACATCTCATCGAATTTTATGAACTGGCCAACCTGAGCAGCAGCGAGATGTGCATAGCAGATGCGAGCAACTGCAAGCAGGCAAAACAAGGAAATCAGAAACAAGAGATCTGATACACAAAAGCTACTGGAGATGTTGACAACACCAAAGGCAATGCAAGTGCAACAAATCAAAATTAACAAAGTTCAAGATGTGTTAGCACAAATCACAAGAGAAAATTTTTTTCTATGAAAGGACAAGGACAAAAACTTTGTGTGGGCAGACACAAATCACAATAAACAGAGTACTGACTGTCATGAAACAGAGAAAGAACAGGTGAAGGAATTATTGTTGTATTATGGCAACATAGTATTGACCTTTGACATACAAGAACTACAAGAGCCAGATCAACTATTGCTGGTAGGGTACTCATGATCGCGGTACTCGATGCTTGTTTTGGTGATTGTATTATTATGTACTATATCTGTCCATGCATGAAACTACGGAGGGCCAGAGGTTCAAAAAAACAGACATGTCAGGCGGTGAAGGCATATATATGCTGGAAACTGTATGCTATTGCAGAGCCACTAAGAAAAAGAAAATATAGTTGAACAAATATTTCCATGCCTTACTTTGCAAGTGTAGTTTATTTTATGCATTCTCGCAACATGTTCCCACAATTCAACGCAACTTCCAAGTTCTTGTAGCTGGTAGAAGTAGAACATAGTTAAATCACTCAGGCACAAGAGTATTACAATGGCATATACTACGGAGCAGTTCATAAACACACTAAATAATGCAAGTAGAAGTGGTAAAACTATCGCATATACTACAGGTGCATTTCTTAAACAAACACACAAAATAATACAACTATGCAAATATAAGTGGTAAAAAATAAATAGCTACAGGAAGCAATCAGTCATCTACATATTTCTGCAATTGCATTCCCAATTTCCCACCAAGAAACGAATCAGCATGCTCCTATTGGCTGTGTTCCAATTCATAACTTGAGAAATAGGCTTTACCAAACAACAAGGAAATCCAAAACATCAAAATGATTTTCAATATACTGGACGCAACAATAGCCTTCATTGACCTTCTGTCTAAACAAAATACATCAGCAGTGGACAAGATCCTCTCTAGCCTGCAACAAAGAACCAATAAGGCTAATAACACATTGAAAAAAGGTTATCACATTCAGTTTGTGAATATAACATACCTCCCAACCCAAGGAAGTAAGTTCTGAACAAAGAGGGAAAGAACACCCTCCTTGCAAATCTCAAGGGCTATCTGCAAGAACCTGCTCTTGATTTGGTTCTATTTCTCCATCACCAGCAAGTGTATGCCTGAATGCAAGTATGTTTTTCTCAGCATCCTCGAGGGCCTAACAGGAGCATACACAAACTCATGAGCAACATGATTGTTGTACCATGGTGTTACTGTTCAGTGCACAAGAATTCTATACGGGGGCAACACATCAATCAAAGAACAACTAATAAAACTGTAAATTAAATAAGTAAACAGGTGCTATCTTAAAGCAGGGTCAACATACATCTCCATTTCTATGAGAACAATGTTAAAAAGAACATGAACAGAAGTGGAGATTTATAGTTGATCTGGCTCTTGTAGTTGTTGTATGTCAAAGCTCAATACTATGTTGCAAACAGATCCCAACTGCTAACTTAAACATTTGATGAACAAGTAAGACAAAGTGCCCTCTCACTGTCATGATTACTAACTTGATAACTACATCAAACAAATGAGTGAAATCTACTCAATCAATGTGCACTTGTATACTTCTCGCAAAAAGTATACTCATGAGGTAAACATTGCATATGCTCAGAACAACAATTGCGGTACTCAATACTTGCAATTACATTATTGCTGATTGCAATTAATTAATTACATTTTTTTTGTTTTCATGAACAGGAGAAAATAGCAGGAACAGAGCAACAGAAGTATACTTCCTTTTAACAATGTTATATGCTATATGAGATCGAAATAAAATCAACTCTCATGAAAGTAACTTTTATTTTTTAAACAGATTAGACATCAGTATCTTGCATTTGGGAACTTGTAATTAGCTGACAGAAGTGTTGTTGCCAAACAGCTGATCCCATATAGCACATATAGAAAACTAAAATAGAAAAAATATAGTGGACAAGGGATACAGATTATGCGACGGAAACTAAATTGAACAGGTCCTGAACAAAACTAGGGAACAAATGCTTATCTGCTGAACCAACTGGACCAGTCATTGACTGACCTTGTGTTGAACTAATTCAGATACATGTCAATCGTGTACTAATAATCTATATATAACTGTTTATTCATCTCTTATTACAAGATTATTTATGACACCAACAAATCGCACTCTATATGTTGGTTCTCTTTGAAAAAAAAGAAAGAAAATGATATGCACAAGAGGTGCTATGAGACAGGGGGTTACTCCCTGCTTTGAACTTCAATTTCTAAGAAAATAATATGCACATTATGCATAGTTGCAATGAAATTATATGATGTAACGCTACAAGTGTCTCATAAGTCAGAATTTGGAAGTGTTTAATAGGATTTGCTTCCACGAGTTGGGTTGGGTTTAGAGAGACAGATGTCAAATTCTTTTATTAACAGAGAAAATATCAGCATAAATGCAAATTCAGTAGCCACAATTGGCAGAAAAAATCCTGATTCTCCCATAACAGAATCTTGGGGTGGGGCTATATAATCATGAAATGTCTTCCTCTAGTAAAAGAAATTCCTTATAGTAGATGGTAACCTTTAACTGTTTGGGTATATCCAGCCATCCAGGAGACCAGGACATCACTAATTAACTCAAGACCTCATAAACATTATTTTCTCGAACACACAGGAGAGCCATACAACACACACACTCACACTATACAATAAACTAGCATACACTCGCCTTTTGAACAAAGTAAACCTGACCTCGACCAGGACACTAATGTTTATGTCATGCCAAAACATTACAAAAGTTAAATAAGATGCACAGCAAGTGAAATTATTCAGATTCACAGCTTCCACCAAATATTACTTTTCCCTGTGGAAAGCAATGTTATCAGGACGTCCGATTAATCGTGATTAGTCACGACTAATCGTCCTGGACGGTCTTACCTACTCGACCAGGGCCTCCGACTCGGCTAGACCGTCCAGAAACCTAGTCGTCCGATTAGTCGTCGTCCAGTCGCGATTAATCGTCCGTCCGTCCAGGCTGTGTGGTCGTCCAGCCAGAGAGTGGGCTGCATCTCAGAGTTGGGACTAGCTAGTTGTCTTATGTTTTAGCCCAAGCCCATTAGGGTTTCTCTTCTTTCCTACCCCTCCTCAGCCTCTCCCTCACTCAGAAGTCAGAAGAACACATGCACTCTTCTCACCTCTCCCGTCTAGCTACAGCAGCCGCCTCCATTGCTGCAGTTCCGCAGCTCCCTTTCCTCCTCTCCTCCCTTCCGGTTCCTAGCTGCTCCTCCCTCCCTTCCAGCTGCCCTCCCTCTCTCCCTTGCGGCTGCTGCTGCTGCAGGCGCACAGGCCTAGATCCAGTGGGTGCTCAGGTGGAAGTGTACATGCCTGAGGCCAATGTTCAAGGAGAAGTTGGTTCTGCTCCAGCCTCCTCAGTTGCATCAGGCTCAGCTGCTCCAGATGTTGCATCTCTTGTTGAGAAGGCCCTAGCAAAACTATATAATATACATATATATATATATGGTATATATCAGTCCCCATATGTAGGGGACGATGGGGACGACCAGGGGACTCGTCCAGGGTCGATTAATCGTCCTGGACGGTCCCCAGGCGACCAGGCTCGACCAGCCGTCCTGATAACATTGGTGGAAAGGGCCTTTAGAAACTTGGCTTGACATAAACATTGAAGCCAGCTTTCAACTAGCCCAAGTCCACAAGTTTGGGACCACTATTTACACGGAGAGAGAGAGAGAGCGTAGAAATACTGAGATGACTAATGTGTGAAGATGTTAATTGATAAAGTAAGAAGATTTCAGCACAAGCATGTGACACCAGAATTCAGAACTCAGTCAACTCACTATCATCACAGAGACAATACCACAAAAAAGGTCATTGCGAATACCACTACGTCTGGAAAAATATCGGAGGGAAGGAGCGGTGCCCCAGACGCAAAGTGAAAAAAGGCATGCTGTCTCACCTTCAGGGCAACGGGAAAAAATGAAAAAAAAAACAAACAAATGCTATCAGACAGAGCAACCAAACTAGCTCCACAGACCCCTATCCCGATCATTGGTTCTCTAGATTCAGTTAGCACAAACTGATGGAATACAAGTTCAGACTAGAAAGAACAAAACACCTGCAAGTCCAGATTTACGATCTTTGGAATTGTATGCTCCTCACCCAAAGAAACTTGACTCCAGTGACACCACTAGCAAATACATATAGAGAACTTTAAAAACTTCAACGAATGCAGTAGCCTTGGCCGACGGCATTAGTAATTGCTGCCAGCCAGCCCAGCCGTAGATTGGGATTCACCTGTTGCTTCTGGCTAACGCAATTCGCTTCACTACTTGCAGCTGGTGGACTTCCGGCTGGAAGAGGGCTACAGCGAGACAACAGTAACAGAACAAAAACACAACCAATCGAGCAAATCGACACCACATCAGGAAAGGGGATCGAATAAATCAAGCAACAGATGAGGAACACAGATCAAGGGGCTAATCTAACAAGATAACTTTATGGAGTATCTTCATATACATTAGCATTTCTCTATTTGTTCTTTTTTCTAGTGTTTAAAATGACAAGTTACAAAAGCCGGTAAAGTACAATCTGAAACATGGCATATCGCCCTAATCTAATCTGCAACTCACCCTGCTGGAAGCTGCAAATCCAGGCAGGGTTCCTGCTATCACTTTGAGCCAGTGATGAGCGAGTGACAGATCCAGATTTGCCTCCCAAGACCTTTCGGATGCCATCCTCCATCCTCGTCACTTTCCTAGAATAACCGAGCTTCTCAACACAACAAAATGGAACACATCGGAGCAAAATGGACGGATCCGCCGTCGTTCTGTACACTAGAATCCAAATGGATCATCCCTTCCTAAAAACCGTAACTAACACAAATCACTGAGAATCGCACGAACAAGGAGCCAAAACCGAAACCCCGGGGCACAAATCGCATAGGCGAGGACAGGGCACCAAACCTGAATCCTGGGGGCGCGCAGCGTGTGAAAGCAGATCTCGAGCTCTGAGACTGGTGGACGCAAGCGAGGCTCCGATTTGGCGAGGGTGAGACGATGCGCCGCGACGAGGCAGGGCGGGGCGGTCGGGCGGGCAGTGCGCCGGAAGATCGCCGCAACGCCACACAGGAAAGCGCCTCCACTCGCTTCCTCTCCTGGACAACGACGGCGACGGCGAGTCGTGAGAGCGGCGGCACGAGGGAGGAGTCCGCGACGGAGCTAGAGCGGAGGCTGCACGAGCTCCAGCACCTCCGGGATAGGGAGCGGTTCGAGGCGCTGGAGTCGGCGCCGCGGCGCGTGCTGCGGAAGCTGACGGAGAAGGAGATGGAGGCGCAGCTGTGGCAGGACACGGCTACACTGGCGCTGGGTACCCGCAGTGCCCGAAGAGGAGGATATCTTCTGTCCTGGCCTGTTGGTGTTAGCGCGGGCATGATACACGTCGCCTGAACAAACACACGATTTCAGGCACCTGCGCAATAGGAAAAGTGATAAAAAATAGCCTAAAATTACTAATCACGTTAAAATATATCCATTGATCGGCCGAACTCACGTTTACAATATGTTAATAATTAAAATATCTGATGGAGCCCACCACCAATCTTGTTGAAATTACTATTATCAATATAAAATATATCCGCAGGACTCACGTTCACGTTGGTTAATCTCGTGGTCAATCTATATATATTATTAAAATATATCCATTAATTGGCCTAACTCAAGTTTACACTTGGTTAATAAAATATCCGATGGGGACTACAAATCACGTTCACTTGGTTAATAGTATCAATCAATATAAAAAATATCAGCAGGACTAATGTTCACCTTGGGTAATCTCTTTCTTATTATTCTTGAAAAACGATTTGTTGAGGCGGCTCGTGTTTTCAAGCACCTATAGAAACTCGATTCTAGAGGCGGTGTTGTTGCCGGCCATCTACATACCCATATGTACAAGCTTTTGTTTCCATCCATCTCAACAAATCATTTGTTTTGCAGAGACAGCTCGAAAAACTATCTCTACGTAGAGATGAAAGAGTAGAGACGGCTGGACCAGCCGCCTCGATAGAGGCTTTCCGTCCACCTATACAAATTCTATACGTAGTCGTGTAGTTTTTATTCGGTGTAGGATCTAAATACAAACTTCTAATGCTTATATCTTTTGATTATCCTAGTTTGTGCAAGAGCCCGGGTTGATAGACTTGAAATTACCTAACGTAGCTGTATGACTCATGTCATGATTGTTGGCTCAAAGGAAACAACGCACTAGAATGATGTACATCTTTGATGAAATATATGTACACATGGACAAGCACAACTACCGTATATGATAATGTATCGTGGTATTTGAACGCAAAAGCAGTCTATACACTAGAGAGTTCCTTGACATTGCAGATGCATGGTTGATGGCCTAGTGCTATTAATATTTTTCCGTTTGAATAAAATCAATCTAAGAACTTTTTTATTTGTATATTAACTCATATCCACTTTTAAAGTGTTATTTCGCCTATATATAACATGCGTTTTGAAAGTATTTATAAGCCCGAAGAATAGCTAATATAATTATTTGAAACTTCCTGCCTGCAGAAGGATGGCAATGTTCCTATTATTGAAAGATTCAGACTGAGGAAACAATTAAAGGACATAGAAGATATTCTCACTTCCTCAAAGAAATCAGACCTCTTCAATCAGAATAGCAGCAACAGCAGCACCGCCAACGATGCTTACAAGGAAAGCAGCAGCTGCACCATCAGAGCAGTGCCAAGGAAAACAGCTGCAAGCAGAAAGAAATTGACGACTTGTACAGCAACATTGAACAGAAAGTGTCCGGCCGAGAAGAGGACCGTGCGCATATAAGTAGGATGCTTGGTGAGGGACCAGATACCTATGCAGCAAGCTCCAGCACCAGTAAACCTTATTCTGTGATTGGTATATATGGCATTACAGGTTCTGGAAAGAGCACCCTGGCACAATACGTTTGTAACTATGAGAAGCACAAAGGCCAACATTTTGACAGTGTCATGTTCATTCATGTGGGGAAGAGATTCAGCATGGGTGACATATTCCGTGATATGCTGGAGCAAATCAAGGAGAGCCGGTCATCTATTGACAGAGATCTTAAAAGTCTAAAAACAGAGTTGTGAGAAAACTTGAAAGACAAACGTTTCTTTCTGGGTCGATGATGACAATCAGAAGGAACTGGATATCCTACTTGATACGCTCAATGCTACACTGAGTGGAAGCAGAATCCTTGTGACATCTCAAAAGAAAGATGCAGCTGAACCTCTTGGTGCTCAGTGTAGGGTTCTAATGCCAATGTAGGGTTTGTGGGCTATGTGGTCTATCCTCTATTAAATTGTATATCTGAGAGTAATTCCAATCTAATTATGTGGGTCAACAGCCTGCAGACCCGATCCTGCAAAACAAACCCAGCTCTTCCGTTATGTTGTACCCGGGCAAAATTCGTACGTACATAATAATATATTCCAGTAGAGTCGATCTCAATTATTCTTCGATATTGTATTCCAGCACAAATGTTCTAGGCACCTCGAGTACAAATTCCTCGAGTTCATTATTAATTATCAACCATATATATCAATAGTATTTCCACACATAGAGGTGATAAATAATTGTAATAATAAATATTGAAAGCCATACATAAAAATCCAACATCTCCCACTTGGCTGAAATATTTCAATCAATAACCTGAAGTCCCATATTTCTAATATGCTTAGAAAATAATTCCTGACTAAGTGGTTTAGTCAGTGGATCTGCGACCATACTAGTACTAGCCAAACGAATAGTCTTGAGTCTGTTTATATGACATCATGAATATAATGAAACCTTCCCTCAATGTGTTCACTTTTACTATGAAACTTGGGATCTTTAGCAACCTTGATCACTGACATATTATCACAAAAAGTAGTGACAGGTTGTGATGCACTTTCCACGACCTTCAATGGTACCAGAAATTCCCTTAGCCATACAAACCTTCCTTTGCTGCTTCCTTCGATGCAGAAATATATTCAGGTTCCATGGATGAAAGAGCAACTGGTTTCTGTAGCTTGCTGCACCAAGAAATAGCACCTCCTACCAATGTGAATATATAACCAGACGTAGATCTCCATTCATCAACATCCCCTTCCCAATCAGCATCAGTATAACCCTGCAGCTGAAGATTGTGACCATTAAAGCATAAAGAATAATCCAAAGTTCCTCTGACATAATGCAGTACATATTTTATTTGTTTCCAGTGCTCTTCCCCAGGTTTCTTTTGATATCTACTAAGAAGTTCAATGGCATGGCTAAGATCAGGTCGTGTGAATAACATAGCATACATAAGGCATCCCAATGCTGAAGCATAAGGAATTCCATTCATTCTTCATTTTTCCTAAAGAGTGGTAGGACATAATTCCTCACTGAGTTTAGTTCCTTTTATGATAGGTACATTAGCTGGTCTACAATTTTCCGTAGAGAAACGTTTCAGTACACTTCGAAGGTAAGTCTTTTGGGACAAACCAAGAAGTCGTTTATTCCGATCCCTATGAATTTCCACTCCCAAAACATAGGAAGTTTCCCCCATATCTTTCATATCAAATTTAGAAGATAACCAAGCTTTAACTTCCGCCAATGTTGATTTATCATTAGAAGCAATAAGAATATCATCAACATATAAAGACAGCAACACAAAATTGCTACCAATAATTTTAGTATATATGCAATGATCACCTTCCGTCATTGAAAAAACATATGACGTGATAGCATTATCAAAAAGAATATACCATTGGCGTGAAGCTTGTTTAAGACCATAGATTGATCTCTTTAATTTGCAGACCATATTTTCATTTCCTTTTTCCTTGAAACCTTCCGGCTGCAACATATATATTTCCTCCTCCAAAACCCCATTAAGAAAAGCCGTTTTAACATCCATTTGGTGGAGTTCAAGATCATAATAAGCCGTTAAAGCACTAGTAATACGAATGGAAGTAAACTTTGCAACAGGAGAAAAAGTTTCCACAAAGTCAACACCTTCCTTTTGTGTGAAGCCTTTAGCAACAAGCCTAGCCTTATATTTTCCACTTGGCCTGCTGCATTAAGTTTCCTTTTAAAAATCCATTTGCATCCTACGGGCTTGCGGTTAATTGGCAAAGAAACAAGTTCCCAAACTTTATTTTTCCTCATCGAGTTTAATTCTTCCCGCATTGCTTCCACCCATAGTTTTGATTGAGAGCAGCTTATGGCTTCTTTATAAGTTTTTGGGTCTTCCTCTAAATCTGAAATTTTAGAGTGTACTTCCCCAAAAACACATAATATTCATCTAGATATGATGGCGCATGTGTATTCCTCCCAATTCTCCTAAGGCGAGAAGTGTTGGGAGTTTGGTTTGTATTTCCTTCCAGGGTTATATTTTCCTCGTCAAGCAAGTTAATTCTAGATGTATCAAAATGTGGTTCATCTGGAGTTGCCAATAATTCCACCCTTGCCCGTTTAGTGCGCCGAGGTGTTTGATGATCTAGGAAAATAGCATCCCTGCTTTCCACTAGTTTATTATTTTCAGGATCATAAAAATGATACCCTTTTGATTCCGTAGAATAACCAATAAAAATTCCTGGTGTGCTTTTAGGATGCAACCGAATACGATGTTGATTTGACACTCTAATTTGAGCATTACAGCCCCAAATAGCTAAGTGACGAAGTGAGGGTTTCCTTGCAGTCCACAACTCTTAAGGAGTGACTGTGACAACTTTTGATGGTGAATGGTTTAATAAATAAACAACAGTATGCAAAGCTTCACCCCAAAATGACAAAGGGAGATTAGAATAGGCCATCATGGATCTAACCATATCCATAAGTGTTTTGTTCCTCCGCTCGGCTACATCCTTTTGTTGCGGAGGTGTATGGCATAGTATAATGATCCACGAAAAAAATAGCGCGCTATTTTGCCGCTATAGCGGCGCTATAGCGCCCCAGATAGCTTGACGCGATGATATTGCTCTTTGTTGCGCTATTGCCGCTATTGCGCACTATCGCGCCGCTATTGCCGCTATAGAGCCGTAGCCCGCTAAATAGCCGCTATTCGTGTTTCACTGGCTAACCCAAAAAGATCGGCTTGGTCAAATATATCCCACTAAGGGCCCGATTCAGTGAAACAAACATGAGCCAAGTGCTGGAAGCCTGGAACCCTAGTCGTTCCTCACCAAACCACTCGACCCGACCTCCTGGTGACGGCGGCCGCTAGGCGACAGGCGTAGCCTGGGCGACGTCGGGGGCCAGGGCGACGTTGGGGGCCAGGGCGATGGCGGGAGCCTGGGCGACGGCGGCAGGCTGGGCGGCGGCGGCGGCGGCTGCATATCGTGATGACTGAGCCAAGCGAAACCTTTCAAAGTCTCGATGATGGCAGTGCGCCAACACTGGGTAATTTCTTCTCCCCTGTTCTTTGGTTATTGAGATGCATATGCTAGATCTAGATTAGATAGGATTATAGGAATCCAATCACCCGAATCAGGTTCTCTCCTGTTCTTCAAAACTTGCGGCTTGCTTGCTTGCACGGTTGCTTGCTTTTGGTACTTAGGTCCTGAAAACTTGCTTTTGGCACGTCGACGCGAGGCATGCCTACACTTGCTTGCTTGCACGGTTGCTTGCAGCATGAAAACCATCAGAGTAAAAATCATAACAAAGCCGGTTGCTTGCTTGCTTGCTTTTGGTACTTAGGTCCTTAGGTCCTGCTTGCTTCCAATTATTCTGCAATCATAGGTTAGGTACTTAGGTCCTGCTTGCTTGCTTTCTTGCTTGCATCTTAAATTCTTAATTCCAATTATTCATTTATTCTAATTCTGAATGATAGCATTTGGTTGCTTGCTTGCACGGTTTGCCAATGCCAGGTCTAATTAGATCTTAGGTTTTTTTATATATGAAATTATGAATATGATGTTAAAAACTGAAATTTGTTACTGTAAGTCTGTAACACTTGTTAGCTACTGTATTTTTGTTATCGACTGTATTTTTGTTAGCTACTGAAACTGAATTTTTGTTAGCTACTGTACTTGTTAACAAACACCGTAACAAACACTTGTTAGCTACTAAATTTTTGCACCATACATTTTGCTACTGTATGTTTGCCATTCTCATATGGTTGTCCACTTTTGTAGGCTTATCTAGCACTGCATCCACAGGAAACCTATCTATATCTAATGAAGCATCTGACCCAGCTTGGAAGCACTGCACAATGCCAGATGTGAACAAGAAAGGTTCTCTCAAGTGCAACTACTGTGACAACATTTATCATCGTGGAATAACTAGAATCAAGTACCACCTTGCTAAAGTTCCTAAATGTGGTGTTGCAAAGTGTACAAAAGTTTCATCTGATGTGATAAAAGAAATGGTTAACTTATTGACAAAGAAGACGAATAACAAGCAAAGGAAGGGTAAGGAGAAAGAAGAGGATAGAGCTATAGTTGATTTGAGCCATTCTGAAGCAGAGGAACACAGTGATGCAGAAGGCAATTCAGTTATTGTGTTGAAGAAGGTGAGTAGCAAAGGTGCTTCTTTAGGTCCTATTGATAAGTTCTGTAAACTAACACCAGAAGAAATAGTGGCTGCAAGGAAGGGCAACTCTGTTCTTGCTGAGAAGGTTCAATCCAAGTTGTCAACTGAAAAAAGGGAAGAGAAGAGGGACAGAGCATGTGAGTACATCTGTCAGTTTTTTTATGAAGCTGGCATCCCACACAACACTATTACACTTCCTAGCTTTGATCTCATGCTTGAGGCTATTGGAGACTTTGGCAGGAACTTGAGAGGGCCAACTCCATATGAGATGAGTGGGAAATTCTTGCAAAAAAGGAAGAGGAAAGTGCAGGAGTTACTGAAGTCTCACCAAGAGTCTTGGGAGCTAAATGGATGCTCAGTTATGACAGATGCTTGGAAAGATAAGAGAGGTAGAGGTGTGATGAACTTGGTAGTTCACAGTGCATATGGTGTTTGTTTTCTTGATTCAAATGGATTGCTCAAATTGTGAAGAAGAAAGATGGAGATACATTTTGAGTGGTTGATAAATGTATTGAGGAAATAGGGGTGCAAAATGTAGTTCAAGTTGTGACTAACAATGCAAGACCAAATGAGGCAGCAGCTAGTTTGTTGAAAGCAA